TGCATGTGAAAAAGTATGTTAGACGGAATAGCACAGAAGAAAAATGACTGCTGTAACAAAATTTTTTACACTTTCTTTTCCAGACCACACGGATTGTCAATGCCCTGGAAATGAAAAGGATACTATGGACTGCAATCTACATCCATGTCCAGTACCAACTTCGTCTGTCACTCACCGTGACTTCGACCTAACACACGACATCGCCACATCAGAAAAGAAAGAAGGGAAAGTGGTAGAAGGGCCAACACCATGTGTACAACTTGATGACTGTCATCCTCCAATACACCCTGATCCCCCGAAAAATAATACTTGCGAATGGACAGATTGGTGTAATTGGTCACCATGTCCTACAACCTGTAACTTTGGATTGACGAGACGACACAGGTAAGTAATTAGTCAAACTCGTGTGTGAATTAGCAGAGAATTTTTGAGACGAAGATTAAATTTGAAGATGGAAGTTGAGAAAAAAAACTAAACAGGCCTTATGACTAAGCATTTCTTTTATTGCTTTATTGTTACTCTAATAGTTGCAGTAACTGTTTAGTAATTATTTACCAGGTCTACTTATACAGTTGTTTAGGTAATCAGTAATTGGTGAACAAATGACTATATGATTCAAAAGATAAGTACATTTGATTATAGGTACTGCGTTGGTGACAATGAATGTGTATGCAATGGTCCATCGCTTCAGAAGGTCAATTGTGTAGCTAGTGAACAGTGTAGAAAGAAGAAATAAGTATAAACAAAAGGTGCTTTTATAAGTGTCGAAATTTATAATAGCATTTACTGCTTTTACTGCCAAAATAATATAATGTGTTTGTTCGTTCCTACTTTTTTTTTTTACAGTATTACAGTGTCATATACAAAGTGTCTGAGTAATTATTGAATCTTTTTTTTTTGATATATTTAGTAAGCTGCAAATTTAAGTAAATAAATTTTAATTCAGCTTGTTACGCTTTAGTCGTTTTAATTTCATTTAATATTATCATCTCAACTGCATTTGGAATAATGTTCTCATAATATATTTCACATTTGTCTTTTTTTTACTTTTTTTTTTCTTTCGCACAACAGTTAACTGCTGTAGACAACATTTCCTCGAAAGTGAAATTTACATTCAGTTTTCTTGTAAATTCTTTATATGAACAAAAAATAATTGAAAAACCTTGACAACATTGTTATTGATGTGTAAATGGCTCAGACAAAGCTGCCATCTTAGGTGATACTATGGCTACGTTATTGCCGTTGTAAGCTTTTATCATCTCTTATTTTCCTGAACTGTTTTTTTTCTGTATCAATGAGTTACAGAGAATTGCGTCTAATAAATGAATTTTCTTCTTGTTTATTTGGTATTTCATTCTAAGTGTGCACTTTGCTTAGCTTAAAGAAGGGGAAAAAATTTAAAATAAAAAAAATTTTTTTCTAGCAGAAACTTGTTTGTTGTTCGAATACTGATAAATAATTTTCTTCAGCAACAATTTTCTTTACGGTTACCTCTTTGTTTTGAAAGGCTCAAAAATAGCGACAACTTTTGGAATGTATGAGCTACTTTTCAATTAAAATAATAGAAAAATACAACATGAGAAAGGCACTGTCTTTGAAATAAATCTGTCAAAAAAGGTAAAAAATCTACAAAACGATTAAAATATTAACGGGTTCTTACCTATGTTCTTAGGATTGCTGATTTTTTTTTTATTTATCTTTATAGTTTATTATACGAATTAAAAGATTAGTGACAGATCAGGACAACTGAGCTTGGAAAAGATTGTGATTAGTTGAGTAATGACTCATTTTCCACTTTAAGCAATGCCAGCAGGCTGTTTTGAAGCATCCAAAGATGGCGAAAAAGTCATGTGTTTTCATAATTTTACGTCAGTAATTTTCACTTTAATATTACAAAACTCGGCAAAACATAGGTCTGTTTTGGAAAAGTAAAAAAAAAGAATAAATTCTGAATTAGTACAAATTCGACATTTATCATTAAAGCTTCGATATTACTTCTACTCCTTCAAAAGTTTTTGTTGCTGTAAGACTTGAAGACGAAAGAAGCGAAAAACAGTTATTCAAATATGTTTTTGAAAACCTGAAAACAGGTCAGTTTTCGCGAACTTAAGACTAATTGAAGAATTACGCTAGAGGAACCTTTTTTTGTATCTGAGTCAAGACTGCGTAGCCGCAGACGTCTTCAGCATATAACTTCTTGGGTACAACAACTGATATGACCCTTATGGCATGATACAGTACTCGGCCTATCAACGAAGAATCTACATTATCAGAAATTTGTAATTGCTGTGACATTAGCAGAAGTCACGTTATCTCTCCTATTCTGTCTCTAATTCCCTGCGAAACAAGAACGGTTGCTACAGAAAAAAACGTGATGTTTGTTATAACTGTGGTTTAACAGCTTGTTATTATAAGACTAACCTTAGATAGCATGTACCGTTAACGAATGCAGCACAGCAATGCTAATTTTTCGAGAAAATGTGCAGACGTAAATAGCCCTTGCGCTTGGATCAGACAGCTTAGACGATCGGATCACAAATTTCGCACACTGGTAGCGTCAGAAAAAGTCCAGCAGTTCTCTGTGAAAAAGAGAATGGTATTACGATGACCTATAAATTGAGTACTTCTTCTTGTGCAAAACTTTGATTTTTTAGAGACTGAAGAAATTTTGTGATCTGAAAGATTTTTGCATCGGTAACGTTGTTGATGTTGAATTCTGCATCCTAGAAACTGAATCATGTAACTTAACAATGTTTGCCGTTTCTGTATAGTTCAAGATCGTTCTGCTGTTTTCACATTGTACAATTACGAAGATTTGTACACGAGCTATAAGTTACGGTAATAGTACGGTAAAATTCCATAGAAATTTCTGCAAATTATGCTGACTCAACCTTAATGCATAGTTGTCCTTAAATTAAACTTTGGACAGAACCTAATTTTATAATAAATTACAGAATACGTGTCTTCTGCATCTCTCTGTCGCACATCTTTCGTTTTTTTCCCAGTTTTACCACTGAAAAAATCGCAGTGTTGAAAAAAGTTAACGAATAGCCAAAGTAAAAGTAATGCGTGACGAGCTACCAAAATCAAACTGAAAAAAAAAAAAAACGTGAAAATGTGTAAGGATCTTACTGTTAGTTCCGCTGTTCCTGTCAGAAGAATGAGCGATAGATTGAAAATAAACTAATGGCAGTTGAAGTGAATTGAGCATACTGTCGAAACAAAAGAGTTATAAGATTTTGGATTTTTTTTATATCCTGCCAAATTATTTTTCAGCTTTAATA